GTTGGCCATGCACAAAGGCATCCAGATGCACCTACCCAGCAAGCCAGGCTCCTAGGATGGATGCAGCCTCCTTTCCTGAGAAGGCACCTGAGAGTTTCCACAGAGCCAGTTAGTGATCCAACTGAACAGTGTCTTACCAGGTGTGCAAGTCACACCTCTGTCTACTTTTGCATTGCCTGAAGGACACTGAGGGCAGATGGGAAGCTTGCTTTATCAGATTGTCTTCTGTGGCAGCTACACTGTTATTTCATTCCTCTATATTTATCCAAACCCCCAAATCATTGCCGTCAAGCGATTTCTGACTCGTGGCGAACCTGTATGGCAACCCTATAAGGCACTGCTCCTGTGGGTTTCTGAGACAGTAACTCTTAACTCCTTACATGTAGTTTTACATTCCATCTTATTGACATTATAGAATATAAAGATCTGTAATGCTTTATCGGGGACTATATACAGCAAGATGGAGAAAGATGATACTTTCGATCCCTGTAAGTCATTCCAGTCTGGAAACCCCGCGGAAGCAGTTCTCGGCTGTCCAAGAGGGTCATGAGTCGGCCTCGGCTCGATGGCAGTGGCCTGCCATGGACAGACAGCATCACCTGTGCAAGCCGGGGCTGCGCGAGGCGGACTTGTCCGCGAGGGCAGACCCTAGTGGTTTATCCACGGAAGGGAGAAGAACAGGACACGCGTGCCAGCCCGTCTGAGGCAGCGCTGCCGGGGACCGGCTCTCACAGGTGTCTTCTATCTAGAAATGCTTCTTAATCTCTTTATTTTTTGCAATTTTAATTTTCATCATTTCTGCACTTAATGTTCCTGTGTCTTGATACCTAGTTATATCGTCACTGAAAATTATCACTGAAGTCGAACTGCATATTGAGTCACATATGAAAGCGCAGACACATGCACACAAGCACACGTACATGCACAGACATGCATATGCACGCGCACCACATACACATGCACGCACACACACCACAAACATACACACAAACACACATACCACACACACGGACACACAAACACACCACACACCACATACACACCACAAAACTACACACACAGACCACACCACACACACACAGACCACACCACACCACACACACACACCCTTCAGGACTCTGCTGCCTCCTCCACGGAGATACCCGTTCCCCAGTTGTGTGAACACAGTCCCGTGCACTCGCAACTGCAGACCCATGTTTCCATTGCCTTTGAGCAGGAAGCACCTGGTGCCCGGCGTGCCCGGGTGTCCGCTGCATCCACGAGAGGAATGCACTGGCACCCTCAGCTGGTCCTCAACCCGCTGTGTGTCAGTCCCATTCCTCCACTAAGGGGCCCTGGTGGCGCATTGTGCTAAGCACCAGGCTGTTCGCCAAAGGTGGGTGGTTTGAAAACACCAGCCGCCCCTGGGAGAAAGATGAAGCTGTCTGCTTCTGGAATGATCCAGAAGCCTTGGAAACCCTGGGGGCCAGCTCTCTCTGTGCTCCTGGGGGGCTGTCCCCTGGCCTGCAGTGGGGCGTCCTTCACTGGCTGCCTGTAAGCCGTTTCTTCCTTTTGGTAGGAGCGGTGCTGATCTGAACAGTTTTGCACACCAGCACTGGAGGGCGTACGTTGTGGACAAACAGATTCCTAGATCTATAGATGCCAGGCCAAACGGTATTAAGATGTAAACTGGACTCCTCAAACCCCTTCGCCCTTGGAATCCTGGGAGCTAGCTTTATTTGAGACGCCTCTTGCCCAGGCTCTTCTCCGGGCCCAGGGTGACTTGCTCCCAGGGTGGGGGGCCTTTCCCAACTCCTGCGGGGGCTAAGCACCCTTAGCAGCAGTGAACTTCTACATTATCCCCCTTGCTTCTTTTCCTAACAGGATGTTTGTCTTGCTTCCTCATATGGTGGAATTTTTGGCAAAGGTTGGACATGGATTTAGGCTTATTTTATGGAAATGTTCCGATTTTTTTTAATGGGCAGAGATATCAGTTCATTTCTTTGTTGTTAGGGGTTCAGTTGTCTGGTTTGGTTAGCAAACCTTTTTCTCTCTCTCCTCCCTTTTTGCTCATTATCAAAGTTTTAATGAAATAAAGGGGGTTTCACAAAGTTTATGGACAAATACCATTATCTCTTCATTTGACTCTTCCATGAGCGCGTTGAAAGCCATCATACTAATTAGGAGCCTGGTATCTGGCCCCTGTGTGGGTAAACAACTAAGTGCTTGATTGCTGATGAAAAGGTTGGTGCTGCAGGGTACCCAGAGGGACCTCCAGAAAACCAGCTGCTGAACTCCTGGGGTGCCGCCCTCTGCTGCCCGTGGGTCGCCCTGAGTTGGAGAGCACACACGGCAAGTGGTCTGGGGGGTTGGGAGTTGTTTTCCAGTGTTTGCTAATACCTTCATAGATCCTCTTTGCATGTTTGTTTTAACCTTCAGGCATGCCATCCATTGGGATTTCTGTAATTAGTTAACATTTACAAGGTAGGCTCACTTCTCCCCATGTCATTTCCAGAACGAATTTTTCTCTCTGGAACATGATTTAGGATGCTGCTGTGACAGCATTTCTGGTCCTTTTTCATGTGTCTTGACACCTACTGATATTGTCACTGCAAACGTGTGTGCGCTCATGTGTGCACATGTGTGTTTGTGTGTCTGCAGGTGTGTGCATGTGGGGGTATGTGCACATGTAGATGTGTGTTCCTGTGTGTGTGCGCGTGTGTTCATATGGACACGTGTCATTGTGTGTGTGAGCCTGTGTGCTCTTCGGCCTGTGTTACTGCCGTTGTGGATTTCACTGTCACACCTTTTATACCCAGCTCATAGAGCCAGTAGCTCCCCGATGCTTCTCTGTTGCAAAATTGCCTTGGCTTAACTCCTTTCCTCTTCCCTGTACCTTTTAAATCCGCTTGTTTAGGGCTTTTTTTATTTCTTATTTTTTAAGAATGCTTACATTTCCACTGGACTCCCCTTGAACTTATACTGACATTTCTAGAAATGTAAATGGGTTTCTTTCATGGTCAGGGTGATTCAGAGCTTATGAAAGCCCCCAGGGAGTCAGAGAAGAACTGTGCTCTCTGGAGTTGTCACCAGCTACTTTGGTGGGTGGGGGGTTAGACCCCCTGCTTTCTTCTGGGGACAGGCAAGGGAGTGTGGGCTGTGGTGTCTGGGATGCCCCAGTTCTGAGCCAGCTTCTGCTGCCTGTGACCCCTTGGGGTCTATTGAAAGTGTTAGAATGTCCTCTTTAAGACAGGTTAATTCCGTAGTGATCCGATGAGGTGGGGTATTAATATATAAAGTGTCCAATTCATGGGAAATGCTGGATAAATGGAATGCCAGCATGCTCTTACTGAAATCCCATATAATGCCTTCAAATTTCCACTTCCTTCACAGCTAATTAAAAATAGAGTCAATCACGTCGACACCTTATTTTTATAGACTCTTGGAGCTATCTCATTGGCTGTAATAAATACCATCCCTGATTTGTAAATGAGAGACCTGGCACCTACAGGTCTCTTGCTGAAAATCATTCAAAACACCTTCAAGCTTGGACGTCACAGGCAAGGGGTGCACAGGGCCTCTGGGGCAGGGGGTGGATGTCGGTCTTAGCACGTCATGGGAATAAGATGCAGCCTAGTGGGAAGTGAGGCAGCCCGAGGAAGGATGGCATTCATTCCTCATGCCCCATATATCTGCACTGCCCGAGGGGCTCCAGCAGGGATGTGGCCAGCCCGATCAGCAGCGGGTTTGAGAAGGGTTACACGTGGAAGAGGAAGCCATGTTTAGAGGCTGGTGTTCTGATCCGTGAGAGGGTGCTGGGCTTGCAGCCTGGGGCTGGTTTCACACCCTGTGATGGATTCATAATGTCAACAGAGCCACAGTTCAGAGCCCCGAGGGAGTGTCGGCTTTCTTGCTCGGGTAAGTGGACAGGCATAAACAACCACTGCCATCGAGTTGATGCCGGCTCCCAACGACCCTGTACGACAGGTTAGAACTGCCCCGTGGGTTTCCAAGACTGAAACCCTGACCTGTGGCTAGCAGCCCAGCACACCACCACTGTGCCACCAGGGACACGGGTGGCATTTCCTGGGCACCAGTGAGCAGTCCTGGGGCAGAGTGTGTTCCACGCTGAGTTGCCCACTGTGAGGTTGGAGGGCACACCCACAGGAGAAGCTGCAGCCCGCTGCTCCCATCGAGTGTAGTCTCCAGTCCTGCAGGGCTGCCCTCCTCTGTCCGCTAGGGTGACAATGCCTTGGAATCAGTTGGACAGCAATGTTGTCGTTGGTTGGGTGGTTTCAGTGAGCAAATGGCAACACACACTGGCTGGTCCTCATCTTCTTCTCAGCCTGCCGCACACACGGGCCTCTCCAGCGGGCTTGGTTCCATCACTTGAAGGTCCTTAGCGACATTGCTTGTTCAAGAACACTTGGCCACCTAAACAGAGCACATGGGCGGTTGTGTTTTGTTTTGTTTGGGTGGTGGCGGTTTTGTGGGGGCAGGCAAGAGCTAGCTGTGGCTCAGGATCATACAAATCAATAGACGTATAGTTGTCCTGATGTAGTGCATTATTACTTGGTGGGCTGCTACCCACAAGGTCAGCAGTTCGAGCCCACCAGGTTCTCCGAAGGAGAAGGATGAGATTGTCTGCTCTCCTGAAGTTCTGCAGCTTCAGAAACCAGCAGGGACTGTTCTGCTTGGTCCCTGGGGTCACTGGGAACTGGAATGATTGACAGTGACATTGGTGTTTGGTTTGCGGGTGCATGTCTGGAATTCCGGGGGAATACAGCTCCGAGCCAAAGGACCAGAGGTCTGAGTGCACTCTGAGGTATTGCCAAAGAAAGGTCTGGTGACTATTTTCCTTAAAAAATGACCACTCAGAACCCTGGTGGACACGCAGGAGCACCTTGAGTCCGAGCCATCTTGATGGCTGTTGGCTGTGGGCCCGGGACATGGTTACAATGAGAGCTGACCTGTGTTCAATGCCTACTGAGAGTCAGGCATCCCTGACTCTGCCCCACATGGGCTTAATCCTTAGCACTGTTAAAAACTGGATGTCTTGATGAGGAAACACAGAGGCTAGGGCAGTTGCCCATCTAGGAGAAGAGACTTCAAAAGGCTCTCGGAAAATGTCCATGTTTTTCTCATCCCCCTTCCCACGAATGCCCCTGGTCAGTGGCTGAACTGGGATTTGAACACACACAGTCAGAGCCCTGGCGGCCCGCTAGGTAAGGGCTCGACTGCTGCAAGCCTGTGTGTCTTCCCAGCACACGAGTCTGCCTGCTTCCAGGTAGTTCCCACTTTGGGAGACCCTCTGAGCAGTCCACTCTGTCCATCAGGGTTGCCATGAATCGGAAAGGGATCCCTGCACACAGCCAACAAGTTGTAGGTAGTGAGCAAGTTAAGAAGGAAACGTGTGTGAGAGAAGTCCCCGTCCTCCGCTGCGCCACTCGTTAACTCGCGTCTCCCTCCCGATTCTCAGCTCTGGAACAACTACTTCCACCTGGCCGTGGCGTTCCTTACGCAGGAGTCCTTGCAGCTGGAGAATTTCTCGAGTGCTAAGCGAGCCAAAATCCTTAACAAGTAAGTCCTCGTCCATCTTGGCAGGCCCAGTGGGGGGCAGTGGAGGGGTGGGGGGGAAGACAGCACCTTCTAGCCTAAGGTGACCAGATTTTAACCTTGGTAAAGTGGGACAAAATCGG